TTTTGATCGCACAGTATTTTAATAAGCAAAAATAAAAATTATTATTCCAATAGAACAATTTCGACAAAATCGCCAAAAACTGGAAAAACAGGTTGATGATATAAACGATTTTTGATTGGATAAATAGCTTTTTTTACAACTATGAGTAAATCAAAGTGTTGTATCCGCGCTAATAAAGATTTTTGCGAAATCTGTTTTCTGTCTTCTCTTTAAGTTGCTAAAATGCTTTCTTTTTTCCCGTATGCTCAACTACTATACTTGAAACATCTTTATTATTGCTTTTACCGCAATAAAAGTAATTCGAAGTAAAATCGAATTCCTTTGCTTCCTGAACAATTTGTTTTTTTTACTGAGCCTTCTTCCTGCCTATTTTAATAATAAAGATGTTTTCATTGAAGCAGTTGAGCACAAGGAAACAAAAGAAAATATTTTAGTAACATTAAAGAGAAGAGGGAATAAGACAGATTCCGAAAAATCTTTTTTAGAACGGAGTAAATACGTCAATTTAGTTGCAAAAAAAGCTATTTATCATGACAAAAACCGTGTATATCTTAAAACTGTTTTTGCAGCTTTGGGCGATTTTCTAGAAATTTTTTTATTGGAGTAATATTTTTTATTTTTGATTATTAAATTATAACTTCTTACGAAAATTTTGCTACCTGGCCCTATGAAAAAGACCTGCGTGAAGACAGCAACCAAAGATAGCGACCGTTTCTCCGAAGATGCCCAAATACCACAGAAATACAAAAAATGTAGATTGCGTCCACCTTTACAAACAAGCAATGCGCGGGGTAGTTATCACTTTCTAGTTTGTGCAGAAAAATACTACTATTAGCGGTTAATTATTTTAGAGCTATTTAGCCTAGACTATACGTAGAATGAAACGTAAAATGTGACATTTATCATTTTCATCATTTAATTGATCTCCATCGTATTCTTGGGCTGCCCCTCTTGTTTCTTGGGTTGCTTATTTCCAACGCAATAAGTTTCGCTGTCCTTCCGTCTCTCTAAGTGACTCTCAAGTTGCAGTCTTGTAACCCACCATAATATTATTTTCTTCATATATCTCTTGTAATCTTGTTTGCTCTTTAATAATAATAGCCAGTCTCTTCGCTTGATATTCTGCTCTTACCTTAGTATTTTTTCCATGTCCCATCGCTGTATAATTCGGTTGAATTTAAGATTGCATTATATATTTTTGTGTATAAACAAACACATTCAGGCAATTGTTTTTAATTTTCCATAAAGGCCGATACACACTTACGCGCGGCGAAGCGCCTTTTTCGCATACCTTAATTTTAATAGTCAAACGCTCACTTGAGCGAAGCGCGGTGCGGTGGTTTATCGGCGTATAAAATCATTGTTAGCGAAAAAATCGCTTCACCGCGCCGCGCATATGTGCGTATCGGCCTTTATGGGGAAAAAACCATTTTGAATAGGTAGAATTGTCAGTTAAAAAAAATGTTATATTCGAAAACTTATTCACCAATTCACTAACCAAATTGTTTTGCACTGACAGCATTCAGTACATGGTCCTAACCAAGATGGATTAGTGAGAATAAGGAAAAAGCATCGATGAACGTGACAAGTAATTGGGCGCCCCGATTTTACGCAAAGGAAGTTGTTGTGGAAGTAGCAATTATTAATTGGAGGTTCGGCCTTTTGAACAGTTGTTGCCGAAACAGTAGCTGAAATTTGCATCATGATACAAAGAAATCGGAATCAGATTCATAATCCTTAGCCCACATATTACTTGTTGGAAATCGAGATCGGGTGAGTCTGTTCCAAGTATTTTCTTTTAGAATTCCGAGTTTTTCGATTAATGGCAAAAGGTTAATACCTACATTTCAAAGTTTGAATGGGGTTTTAGGCGTAGCTTAAACTGCGTGGTGTGCTCAAGGGGAGAATAGCCAAGTTTTTCAATTATGCCTCAGGTATTGATTCATCTAATGTTAATGATATAACGGTAACGCAGTTGCAATACGAAAGACAAAAAAAAACAATTCAATCTGATTGGTAGAAGAAATAGACTTAGATGCCCTGCTTCTCCGCATTTATTACACTTTAATAATCTCTTCTCCTTTGTCGCAATTACTACAAATTCTACTCCCCAGAAAAAAAAACCTTTCCCCTTTCGTGCTGGATTACCATTGCTTCTCTTCATATTATTTTGCCTACCCTTAAAACGTGATTCTTCGTTACACCTCCACCTCACTTCCACTATGACCACTCACCATTTTTTCACAATTTTTACTTTTAGCGCTCTAGCTAGAGAATGAACTTTTCAACTTTTCATTTCAATTCTCAAGGTGTATGTCTATCATCATAGTGACTTTCGAGTCAAAAGAATATAAAAGGGATCGTGTTTCGTATTATGCTCGCCAGGAGGGAAATACCGGTCACAGATCACGTGATGCCGTTCTACAATTGTATGGTTTAATATAAAACACGTTATGACCGCAATTCTCTCCTGGCGAGCATTGTATATCAATTCGCTATTGAATATTGATATTAAATTTTCTATAGATAGTATTCCATATTTGAGGTTTTAAACCGCTAGTCCGCAATTTGGACTACACACTCGCGTCGATTGTCAGAATGTGCGGCATGTACTTACCTAATCTCTTAACCGACATCTCAAGGGCTATCCTTGCATATATAGGTTAGGATAACGTGTAATCTACAAAGGAACGCTGGTCCCTCAGAATCCTAATTCTGTTATTTCTCTACTCATCCTCAAGTTAAACATTACCGGGCGCTATTCAGATTCACGAGAAACGTTGAATACAAGAGAAAATCCACGCTTTATTGATTTTTTTATCGCGCAATACGTTTCTTTATAGCTTTACCGTTTCGGTATTATTAGAAATTTGCAATAGTGTGGAATACTGTCGGAAATAACCGCATCGATTAGTGACCACGTAGGTATGTACACAAATGGTTGCTATGGAGACCTCTGATGCGCACCAAGTTTGAGTAAAGCAGGTCACGATCTCACCTTCTCTGGAAAAATAAGAAACTTTATTGAAAGGATTCTACTGCGATGAAACGAAAACGCTTTAGGCTTTTCATTTTTTGTATAGAAAAAACTTGTGAGTTCATTGCGTTCTCTGGCCCTCAATATGTTCTTAATCACCTCCTACCTAGTATAAGTTTTTTCATTGTAAAAATACGCACCAGTAGAGAATATATGGTTTTTACTGACAATTTATTTCAAACATTGGCATTCTGTACGGGCCTAAAATATAATACGAATTTCTTTATTGTATTATATGGGTTACGTTTGTTAAGTGTAAATCAACCATGGCTTTTTTTATATAGCAGCTTATAATATATCACTGGCGTTGCATGCTCAAGTGGCGCATAGGGCAAGCATTAAAATTGGGCCCCTGTGTAAATTAGCTTACTATAAGATACGAAGAATCGCCTACGATTTTCAGTAGGGGAATTTTTTGTGCACCGCTGGAACCTAATTAAATACGCTCGCATTCGGAAACTGACTTTTAATCCGGCTCCTATTCAGTAGCAGTGATCCGTGAACTCCTAGAAATCGGTTGGCGAAGGTTTGATGTTGCTGTCGAGGAACGGGCGGACGGACGGACAAAACCGGTTTTTCTGGTAACGGCGTTACAGCACGTTGTGCCCGTGTTTGCGTTCACTCTTTTTGGAGTAACGGGCGAGCAGACATGAAGGTTCGTCTCAGCGACTTTTATTAACAGCCCCAAATGTCAAATGTAGCTGTAACACGGTTGAGAGTAATCCCATTATGAAGAAGACAACTCGACTGAATTTTTATGGTCATCGTGTTTCATTCCTCCAACATCCCTGACTGCAGAGACGTCGAAGGCAGGCTTCTCTGACTTGCTTTAACCTTAAATAACGGTCGGGATTATTTAAAGTAGACAAAATAAACTACACGTGAGGTATCGTTCGAACGAACGAATAAGCGCATCCTTCATCGGCACCCCTTGCGTCCATCACTCATGGGATTGTTTGATATGTTTATTGTAGTTTATTTTGACTTTTTTAATTTAATAATATTGGCGATTTAGCTCTATCAAAAAAACACCGTTTCCCATATGAAACCCAACTTAGGGCTGGTTGTGTGTCCCAAGGTATGCTCTTTAAATCGTAAAATAGTTACTTCTAGATCGGAAGCTTCTTATAAGTTTATAGTTCAAAATTTGATATTTTTTTTAAATTTACTCCCCGACATGTAAAGTTATGTGCAACAACTTTTCCACCTATATAAAACACACAGAAATTCAAAAGAAGGGGTATGAGAGAATATGTTTGGTTTTAGGATCATTCCCCCAGGAAAATTCTCCCTGAGGTTCATCCTCTGAAAATTCGCACTGGAAAATTCATGACAGGAGGTTTTGAGTGCAAACAGTTCTTAAGCCCAACAACAATTTTTTTAATTGTAAAATATGGCCTACTTAAAAAAACATTAATATTTACCCCTTTTTTGGCCCCCTGGTTAAAGATGGGTACTGTTAAGTAATTCTGCAATACAATTTTGACGAGAGCTGGCCTGGCATCGATGGTACTGACGTTACTTTTCGGAAGAGTAAGACGATATGGTGAAGTTCCTGACGAAGATTCTGAAGGCAAAATTTCTTGGAATAAATATCCCGGAGCGAGTTTTCTTGGAGCCAAACGTTCCCACGCGGTCACTATTGCGAGCGCGATTGTTCTGGGGGTTAATTTTCCGAGGGTGAACCGGGATAGTTAATTGTTCAATTTCAAAGAAAACCCTTGGCTAACGGAGCGATTTAGAGTTTATAACCAAATAATCATTAAAAGTTCGACGCTAATTACTGTGGAAACATTCCCACTAATGGAATTCCAGACAATTCCAAATTTCCTTACGTTTGCAGATCGTCGAATTCTAAGATGAATTTAGTAAGACTTTTACAAAGGAACGAACAAAGTAGATAGGTACACCACAGTGCACATAATGGAACAGGCGTGGAACAGAAAATGAAGGAGGCTGTTAATGTTACAATGTCGGACGTAAATTGTTAGAAACTGATTCAAGCTGCAAAATTTTCAATAATGACAATAAAGACCGGTAAGTATCAGTTTGTGCGACAAACGTATAGCAAATTCCTTCACGCAATAAAGCATAACTCACATTTAATTTAATATCTCGTAAGAACGTCTAGTTGCGTGACTGTAATGCCTTATCGTGTTTGAATTGAGATTTAGGAATCTATTTCAATACTGCCTGTTACCCTTCATTGCTTGCACCAATACGAAAGTTTGGGAATGTGTCAAACCAAAGGGAAACTTTCTGAATAACCGTTATTTTGGAAAACATAAATTGTTTTGAAACGTGAGTGGATTTAAATCCTTTAACTACTTAGAGCTGTGGTTGAGTTCATTTTAATATTAAAGCTTCGGTGTTTTCGTCGCTTAAACTGTTCTTGGTTTTTATCCTGTATTTATAGCTCCGACTTCTGCATTTTACGGTATTCATTAGCTTTTATTGTCGGATATTATGTGCCCGTATTAGCATGTTAATTGAACGTTTGATACTTTAATAAAGTTTTACGATTAAGCGTTGTGGTATTAGTTAATGCAAACGTTTGCTTACATTATAAAACGTCACAGCTAACTAGTTCTTTGCTAACTCTTGTTTTTCTTTTTTAATTCAATATTTCTACCATTCACCTAGATCCCGTGGTTTTTTGAGTCACCAAGATTTGACCACCACAACCGTAGGCACAGTTTGTAATTGTATTGGAGAATAATTGCCAAATTTAGTGTTTTATTTTTATTTATTGTCCCTCTCTTGTTCTGGCCCCTCAACAGACTTTTCCTCCAATTACAGAGTGACCCCCGTATAATGCTTTTTAGAGGGGCCCCTGCAGAAGGTCTTCTTTACCGGGCGTATCTGTCAGTTTTCCGGTCGCACCAGTCACATTGGAAATGTCTATAATGACTCCTGTCGTCACTGAGAGATCTACATTCAAAAGTTCTCTATGAAAATTTTAATTTTATATTAAAATACGATTTCGGGTAAAATTTAATGCAAAACTCGTTAGTAAACTGACACTACTTCACTCGGAAATTAAAATATTCGTCCCTCGCCGGTATAATGTGTCATTTTCCCGACTTTTATGTAAATAACTATATCGCACCCGTAGTAGCAGCACCTGTAGTTTTTTCTCAGCATTCTGTTGGTGATAAAATGGAATGTCACCAAACAGATTCAGACCTTCTGATCCAGATGCTACGTCCAGTCAGGAAGCTATTTATTATGTTTGTGAGATTGGTCGAATATAAAGGTGAAATCAGATCTGCGTATAAAGTAACGAAACGTATTTACGCGAAATTGGAAATAGACAAATTTTATTTCACTGGTATTTAACTGGAAAGCAAATGGTTAATGCGGTTAGAAGAATGGTGGTAAGAAGAATGACTAGCATTTTTGTTAAAATTCATCATCATCTTCGTAATGAAAAATGCCACGCAAAAGTAGCTGCTCAATTATAATCAACTTTGGAAGGGAATATTTGGAGTTCCAATATAAAGCGGTTACAAGTTTTTCACTTTCTACGCTGCTTCACCGTAACAGCTGACCCAAATGGACCCTTATGTCCTTTTCTGAAAGTTTCTTACACCCATTTCAAACAGTATTAGTCCTTGAAATCAGCTAAGTTTATTAATAAAATTGGCAATTTAGACATTAAACTTTTTTTCTCTCCACAAATGTTACCAAAGTCGGGGCATTACAAACTGACCGGGCCTTTTAACGGTTATGCTATAATAAGACGACTTTTTAAATCTACCGATAAAACAAACCAATAACATTTTGTGATTTTGCTACAATTCTACAGCCAGATACTTTTTCAAATACCTTTATAGAGGCCTTATTTTCGCGTTTATACCTTTGTTCGAAAACTTAATAAACGTCGCGTCGTAGGTGCATTAAGTAGATCGAATTCTTGTAAATTTCCCAAACGATCTTTAGGGTGATTGCTTTAGGGTATTATTTTTGACGTTTATAATTTATTAACGACCCCAACCCGAGCTAAAAATTATTTAAAAAGTACCCCGTGTGAACAGGAATAGTTGCAATGGCGCATAGGAGTCGGTGTATATATTTGCTTTCAATCCTAACAAACACCTTTAATTTTAATAAACGCTATTTTTTTATTATTACGCGAGTTGTACTGTACCGACTGAGTAGAGCTACATATTGACAACAGTTCGGGGTCAACTTTTTCCTAACTATTTTATAATTTCGAACCCGAGTATACCCCTAAGATAGGAAAGATTTTGAAAGCTCTACTCGAGATCTGTGTTGAGTGAAGACCGTGAAAATCCTGACAACAAAACTGAGGACGTTAAAACTTGGAAATTGGCAATCTTCTTCTTTTAATTTCACTTTTTCACATGACCGAATTTACATCCATTTTGGCTTACAGCATTGCAAATACTGCTACTTCATAATAATTAGTTAGTTCAGTTATTAATAGCGTATTCCCAATTAAACGACCACTGATTTTGATCCGGGAACGTGCAACTTTTAAAAGGCAAAGGTTTGATACTGCATAATTACCACCCCAAATTTATATTAATTTATCGTGAGTTTAATGAGTCCATTTTTAGACCGTAATGAACTAACTTTTTGCTAATTGCTAAATAGCTCTAAAATAATTTATTTAAAAAAAATTAGTTACAGGGCGAAACCGGGTTTTGCAGGCAGGTGAAATGATTTGAGATTGGGGAAAACTAATTAAGAAAAAATAGATTTTTCATTCCCCTTGAAAAAGAGGTGATTTTTTCAGAAATCGTGACAACTTTACGGTCCCAAAACAATTTTTTCCTTTTTTATGATAAAAGATGTTTAACGATTTGAATCAGGAACAACCTGGGCTTCAGGTTACTCGAAATTTAGTAGTTAAAATTTTGTTTACTCACTGCAATAATTTACCCCTGTTCCACGGTATGGAAATTCTCCGTATACTTAGGGTTTTAACAGCCAGTAAAAAGCACTTATTAATCACTTCAAATATAAACGCAATGAAAAGTTCTGTACTTCTGGCCAGAACGCTTTCCTGGTAAAAATTTATTTAAACGTAAATGTCCGTCTCTCATACTCCGTACGAACGATCTAGAGCCGGCAACACTGTGGTGTTTAGAATCTTATATGCTTGCTCACTCGCTTCTTATCTGAAAGCACATTTTAGTTCCGATCTTTTTCACTATGAAGCGGTATAAAATGCTTTATACTGGCAAATTTGTGAACTCGAAAATCTTTCTAAGCTTAAAGCGACCACCATAAGACTAATACCATGACATCCTATTCACCGATTTCACTCAAATTAAGGGACGAGCGCTCCTCTGTCGGCGTCATAGTATAGTACATATCATACTACTCTCTATGTATAGCTCTACCTCCAAGGGAAAGAGCCTAAGTCGTCCTTGCCACATACATGTTGGAATAGGTACCTATAATAACCGAATTGTATTAGTTCCCTTTGAAACAAAGCGCCAATAATCTGTGCCTAATAAGGCAAAAAGGTTCTTTTGTGTGAAATTTAATATCAAAGGGATTTAATTCTCAGTCTAAAACTGTTCCATTACACATATACGCATACAACGCGTTAAAAATGGTGATATATAACGGGAAACATTATATTGTTGTTTACCTTATTGCGAAATTTGTAACAATTAATAAACAGAATTCGCTCAGCGTGATGATGGAGAAAATCGTTTTTTAGTCATACAGAATAAAGGACTGTCAACGTTAGTAAAACAAAGCGCAGTATCCTTCCTTGATAAATTCTGCTGTATTTTATACGTATTGTTTGGCGGTGACATCCATTATGTAAAAGGTGTCAAGGGAGAGGGAGCGTTACTTTTGAATACGTTCGCTTTGACCTCCCCAAAACTGAGGCTAAAAGCAGAAGCCGTACGTGTATACAGGATTACGGGCACGTTAAATACGAATCCCGCGGGATTATGTTTCCAACAAGCGCAAATAAGGAAATTCCATTTACTTGATACGTTTGAGAATGTAATTTTGGATTAAGTAATTGTGTTATTGGTATTTGTGTACCGTATCCTCCAGAAGACAATAAAGTTTCGATTGCGATCAAATTATAATGGGAAAATGATTTATACCTTTCGGAACGGAAAACTGATGTAACGCAGGAGAAATGAGATGGATCTCTTTATCGTGTCTCTGTTGTTCTTCAACTCACGGGGATACATTTCATTCTTATTCGACTCGATTGAACCTGCGATGATGTCGAGCTGAAAAATTTCAGGAAAGAATAGTAATTTGGAAAGCGAGGAGCTTTATATATCCGTCTCCCTCTGATGACGTATTTCCCTTCACTCTCGTTATTTCTAAAATGCCCTACGGCTGCACTCAATTACTTTGAAAGCACGTGAAACTAAATCCCGGTAGATACGAACGAAACCAAAATTACATTCAGTCACGTTATTGTGAATTGGGGAAGTAGGTAATTAAGTGTATGTAGTTATCTTTTTACTCATAATTTTGTCATAAAACGTAAAAAATGTAGTTTCATGAGTCGAGTCAACAAAGCCTTGTTATAAAGCATAACTTTTCGACAATTAGGAACCTGTACTGTACTATTTCCGTATTTATATCTCCTAAATGTGTAGGTACTAATTTTTCCTGTGAAATCTTTTTTGTCGTAAGTGATGAGTAACGTTTTTTTGGTAGAACCCTCAGTTTTTATCGTGTATTTGGGAACGGTAAATGTAATTGTTCCGATAGAAAAACACTTGACGTTTAAGCTTGGTAAAAATTACATGTCTCTTTTTCCCTCTGTTTTGCTCATAGTCACTTGAACTTAGTATAACCAAAGAATACTTAATAATTACTCTTTGGTATAACGGTGCATTTAGAGGATATCAACAATCCACAAAATACGTATACTTCCGCTTGGAAGCTTCGCCGTTTCAAATCTGCGGCTATTTCAAAATGGCGTTGCATTTTCTTATAGCGTTTTCGATTGGCAAAACTCGTACTGCACGAGTGTTGCACGAGAAACTGAAGAAATCCATGTGAAAATTGCTCTCAATGGA